CCGCCCCCCACCCCCCCCCCCCCCCCATGGACAATGGCAGACCTGCGGGCTGCGACATCGCCAAGATCACTGGGGCAAAACAAGCAGGGGCTTCCCCGCTGTACATTTAGCTCTGCTTGCCCAAAGCAGGGATACATGTAGAAAACAACTACACGGTCGGCACCTGGAACTTCATGTCCCTGGCATCGGAGATAGGAATTCCACACCCCTGCTGCCCCTCTATTCCCTGCTGCCCTGAGGCCGCGCCTTGGTTGGCCTTGTGGGAAATCCAGCCCTGCTGATATGCTCACCACCCCCGACTAAATTCACCCCTTACGGAACTTCTCCCTTCTATAGTTTTCCACTTTGCTCTCATCCACATTGGGGTCCCACACTTCCTGCTACCTGAGTAATATAGGTACCCTTCTGTATGCATGCCTTCGGTTGTTGTAATAGGCTTGCAGATCTGGGATGCGTAAAGTGTATGTAAACCCTGGGCTGCAAAATCACATGAAATAAAATGCCCAAAAGCACATCTGTAACAAGGAATTAAAGTGTATGTAAACCCTAACAATGAACTTCTCTTATATGCTTCCTTTTGGTCTGTGTACTATACTGTTGAAAGACATTTGCTATATCTGTTTGATGAGTGCAAAAAATACCAGTTAATCCTGTCAGAAATTCAGAGCTGTCATGTACTGTCATGTGCCCTGTGTACACTCAGCAGTCTAATTCGGACTCCTAGTTGTTATCTTGGAACTATGTTACATAGGATAGGCGGAGGGTTTGGATAGTTTAGTAGAAGCATAAAGACCAATTGGGCAGTGCTGACACCTCTCAGGTCACAAAGAGAATTTAGGAGCATTTCTGGCAGATTAACAGGTATTTTTCTCCCATACTTGCAGGGTCTTAACACATGGGGAAATTGGCATGCATTTTAAAGATGTACTATGCATGTTTTTGTTTTTTATTTTGCTCTGGCACACACTTTACGTGTAGACACCTTACCATCAGTAACCCTAAGCTGTTTTGTGATATTATGCTGTGTCATCTACCAAACATTGGAAAACCAGTTGTGGGTGAACTGAGCTTTAATAAGTTCTACCTCCAAAAAAGTAATATTGGTCAACAGAGATTCTTGCCAGAGTATTTGAGTAGATTGTAACTATTCCCTTGCACTGTACTGGCATTCAATTTAGAGAGACTGCTGCCAATCAGAATAAGGCACCGATGCCTTTACAGAGCCATCCCTTACTGGCTGCACACTTACTGGTATTCCTCTCTATGGGGCTACTAGCCATTATTCTGAGGTTTTCTAAATGCCTACTAATTGGTTAATAAAGTATAAAGTCTAGTCATATATATATAACTCCCAACACTAGAGCTGAAGGGTGCTTCAAGAAAGCTGTTTGATGCTTTATAAATGTTTTGTAACTGCTTTGTAAATGATTGCTCAACGTGGTATTCTTCAGTCTAAACTTTACAAGCCAAATTTTTTAATAATGTGCATCTATATGGGACCTGAAGCCTGAGCCAAACATAGCTCTATTTCATTGCAGAGTGCAATCAGTCTAATACAGCCTTTCTCAACATTGTACCATGGGGGCATTGCAATCTCAGGGAACCCCTGCTAATATTAACTGTATTTGCAGCTTATAGTACGTTAGCGTGATGGCCAGTGGAAAGAATGCACCTTACACTTGTGGTCCCAACCTTCGGAGTAAACCTTGTATTCCACAGAACCCTGGTTGAGAAAGGCTGGTCTAACATGGTTTCAGGTGTTGGGTGAAAGGGATGATGCTAAGGCAGTTGATAATAGAAGGAGAGCACAGGGAGGGTGTGAGCAGTGTGGTTGAGCTCATTGCTCAAGGAATTCCTAGCAAACTTGGGAGTAAACCTTGTGTTCCGCAGAACCCTGGTTGAGAAAGGCTGGTCTAACATTTGTTTAGGTGATGGGTGAAAGGGATGATGTTAAGGCAATTTTTAACAGAAGGAGAGCACAGGAAGGGTCTGAGCAGTGTGGTCCAGCTCTTTCACTGAGAAAAGAATAGGCATGTGACACCAGAAAGCTGCAAAACGGCAACAAGAAATAGGAGTTGTCAGCCTGCCTTTCATGTAGTGTGACAGCAGTGTGTAAATCACAACAGTGATGCCAAGTGCTAACATAGAGCATATTCAGCTGACTGTGTTTTTAGCTGTAACCCTGGAATTTAGCTTTAGAGGATTAGTCCACATGAAGCTGTTGATGGTATCTGCTGGGCTTAGTGACCTGCCATTTTCTTATATCTTGTATTTGTCTTGTTCAGTTGTTCATATATAACACTTCTGTTTCTTTGTTTTTAGTATGGGTTTGTCAACCATGCCTTAGAATTGTTGGTAATAAGAAACTATGGTGAAGAAGTGTGGGAAGACATCAAGTAAGTTACTAATTTATTTTATACGACTACAAATTGTTGATCATTGGTATTATCATTGCTACTATGGAGACCACAAAGAGTAGGATTTTGATTGGCTATTACAACCAATATTAGCAACCTAATATTTAAGGCCAGGTTTTAGCTAAATGGATTGCTTGAGAATGGCCCATGTATTAAATATTTATTGGTAAGTTTAATCAAATTGACACTCAAAATCTTGCTCTGTATAACTTTAGGGATGATATACATTTGTTTACAGATTGTCTTTGCCCTGTGTCATATAGGCTTGTGTGGAAGCAAATTAATTAGACCTTTAATACTGTCTCCATGGTCTAATGAACCCTATAGTTAGTGAACTCATTGTGTAAATTGTAACTATTAAACACAGGTTGACACAGATGGATAAACCAAGACTATGAGCACCCATTCAAGTCTATGAGGATTCATATGGTGATATCTTCACTATGTTTAGGTGGTCTGTTTTATTAAATTCAGGTTTACGAGATGCGTGCAATGGGGATTTGTCTTCACACAAGAATGTTAATGCATCGCACTTCAGCGTTTCATCCACTACAAGAAGCATCATTTAGATCTTACGTGACATTCAATACATTTGTATAAGTGTAAATGCTCTTAAGTTCTTGAAGTGGAAAATGTTTCTATATAACCCTTACAGATTGTAAAATGGATTATAGATTCTTCTACATCAGTGAAAACCTCCTGGCAATATTTAAGCTTCCTCTCCGGTCCTGTCACAAGAACCCTATTATTTCTCCAAGTGGACAAATCATGATTATACAGGTTTATTCACCACAAGCATATTAATTATGAGCAAAGTGCAATGATTGCGTGAACAATATAATTAAACATAACATGTAAACATTTCAGCTTGCTACTGTGGAAAATCCTGACATCTGATTAGTTTTTTCTCTTTCCAAGTAGTAATTGCAGATTGCACATGTTGTCTCTAGAAATCATTCAGGAATATCTGTAACTTAATGTATCACACACAGGAAACCAGAGTGGTACAATTCTAACCTGGTCATACAAGTTTGAAATTCCATATATCAAACACAGCTGGACAGCACAAAATTTAGAGGAATTTTCCACTTTCATTGTATATGTAGATTCCTCCTCCAGAACAGGAGTCATGCACTTCACAGAGCATGGAATGGTGGTCTCACATTGGACTTCTGCTAAAAGGTATAATAGGGAAGCTGTGATTACATATTGTAGTTATTGTTTTACATTCCTGCATTTCCATTTTTTTATGTTTAATATTGATATTTGTAGATTTCCCACTAAATGGAGGTTTGTGGAGTTTATATTTCACTACAATCAATTGGCCGTCCTGCCAATTCACAGGGATTAAATTATCAAAGGCAGTTAATTTTGAAAAGGAATAAAGACTGATCTCTCTGCAAAATAAATGTTTATTTATCCTAGTATACAAAGCAAAACTACTCTCACTTCAATAATCCATGTTTTGTTTGTTTATTGTACTTGTACATGATTAAGTATTAAGAATGATCATAGATTTACCTTATTCAGTCAACATTCACTTTGCTAAAAGAATATTTTCTTCTGTTCCATAGACCTGCATTGTGAAAATGAGCCATACATCAAAATTATTACAGTACAAAGCACTGAAATTCAGAAGGCATAGAACTTTGTCACACATTAATAAGATTATTTACATCATAATTATATTTGTCCCATTAAACCTTAAATTCAATTATAAACCTTAAAGCATATCTGAACTCAAACACCCAAATGTAAATGATTCTTTCAGTCCTTAGATGTGGTGGCTGCATTACGTTTCCTATTTTTTTCTTTATTTTCGCCTAGTGATCCAGCCACTAACACCTGGTGATCCAGCAACTTAAGGTGGCTACGTTTACTTTTAAACTGTACCTATGTAGGAGTAGTGTAGTCACTGTAGGACAACAGCACAGTCAACCCGTGGAGAGTGTAGTGTTAGATGCACTAGTAGATTTAGATTACTTTTCAGGTTTTCTCTAGATGTTTACAATGGAGCTGGCTCCTAAAAAATCCTGCTTGATTCTGGATTGGATAGACTGGCTTCTGAATTCCATATTAGTTTGTCCACCCCTGTTCTAAGTTATAGAATGCTTCCACGCTATCCCATAAACAGCTCAATTTTAGTAAAATTCCATTTGGGATACAGTATGGTACCAATTTAGATATAAATAGTGCTTATCAGTGCCCCTCTTTAAAGGGCCAGAAAATGTATAGACTCAAAAGCTACATTAATACTTACTATTCAATTAAAGTGGACCTAACATGAGTTATAGTTTTCCACGGTAGGCGTAAGCGTACTATGTAATGTGTAAGTATAAAGTTTACAGCTATTTATTAGCTCTCACACAGATGACAATACTCCCCTGACAATCTCTGCTTCTAGTTTTCTCTTCAGAAGAATGGCGACACCTTTGTTCAGGCACTATCCAGAATTAGCATCATCTTCCTGGACTGAAATGCTGGTTTAACCCCTTCGTGACTGACGACGTACAGTGCATCTGCAGTCTGATTAGCGAGGAAATTAAGAAAAAGCTTCCAACTGCCTCTTATCTCAGCCTAGGCAAGGTCACTTGACTGGAATTCAAGGGCTGATTTTTAAAAATTGATACTATTGCTGTATAATGTGACATTTCAGGAATGTAGAAATGCAGACTTGGAAAGTTACTGAAAGGTCCAGAACTAATTCCTAAGTGCAGTAACCCTTTCTAATCACAGTTCATCTTGTGGCCTGACATGAGCATGGCAAGTTCTAATTGGTTCCTATGTACATAAGAACTAGCAGGTGAAGTGGACCTGAACTCAAGAGCAGATTTGTTATTGGAACATTTAGAGCTATTATTAGGAATGCATCCTGTAAAATAGCAGCATATTTTGCCAGACTGTGTCTCTGCATAGTCACTCCTGTTGAGGTGAGATTTGGTAATGCTCATTATTCTTCTTGCTGGTGGTGAAGCTGTACCTGAAGACCTGAATTGCAAGGATTTCCATTCTTTTAGATCTTCTCTAATCATTCTGTGGATTGGATCTGTGCTTTCTCCATTTATTCTGTTGCTTTTTAAATACTCCCCCACTAGTCTTCAGATCACCAAGCATCAGAAGGACAGTTCTGGTATGAGGAAGTAAAGCCTTGTTCTTTTACCAGGATGGCATTCTCCACACAGACACAATGCAGAACAAGGCATGGCAAGTCATTAATGGGGAAATTATCAGCTTCAGGAAGACCACAGGCAATACTGGTAACTTGTTTGGGTACAGCTTCCACAGTACAGGTTCCCTTTGAGATTAAGAACTTTTTTGAAGAAAGATGATTAATTGAAAGGAACACATTTCAGCCTTGCACATTAAAACAGGAATCTACAAATGTACAGAAATGGAGATACATGAGACATGAAACTTTGTTGCGCAGCCTCTTTTAAGTAAGCTGACAGTTTTGGTAAAAGCAGAGCTTAAAGCCCAACTAAATGCTCATTAATATTAGTTGGAGTTCAGCGAGTTGTAGAGTGACTTTTGCTGTAAAGTCACCTGCCATAGCCAGAATGGCCGCCTTCTTCCTGCAAAGCATCGGGTATACATGCAGGTTGAAGTCCAGCTCCAGATTGTGCTGCATCCCCCCCCCCCCCCCGCC